GATGTTGGTATTCCTAAAAGTGGCTACAACGTAACAAGAGACAGAGCGGAGAGGGAGAGGTCGGGTAGTTTACACCGAAAACCCCGCCGTCAATCAGCAGTTTCCTCGGGACTGAACGAAATCGGGAGACCTGGGGCGCTATGTCGGACACTCGGTAAAAAAGTCGGCAAGAACTCCGACCGCCGCGATTGGCCGGCGCCGCGCTTGACCTGGGCGCTGGCTAGTCGCGGTGGTCAAAGATTTCTCCGACTTCCTCGCTGAGTGTCCAACATGGAGCTCCTTTTTGTTTTAAACACCCGAGACTGGGTGGGACAAAGCTTGAAAGAACCGAAAATAGAAGAGGAGGGGAAAGAAGTCAGCCAGACGACGTCTTAACCCAGTCCCGGGTGTTTTCAACAAAATGGTAAACAGCTCACCTGCGCCTTCACTGTGTTCTCGTTAATAGAGCTCCTGGCAGGCGGGAGAGACGGAAGGAGGCAAGGAACAACGCGAAGGCGTGGGGCTCAATAGAAATCCCAACTAATCATTCTCCTTGAGCAGCAAATGAATAGAAAAATAACTTAGCAATTTAATTCTAACTCGTCGGCGATATTAGGCACGCCCGTTTTACGGCCATCCAACCAATACTAAAGAAACAAACGGACGTGCCGACCATTAACTATTGACACCTTCCTTCTTACGAGGTCCCATATGAAGGAGTCAATAATGTCTAATTGGAACGTGTTATATACTATTCAAGCTAGTACAGTGTCCAGAGGAAAAGGATTGCCTGACAAAATGTCATTAATTCCTGCCCACACCAGTGCACATACTCAGCGAGGGGACGTCCAAAATCCACAAATTTTCAACAAGTGTCTGCTTCCCTGCCATTTTGGCGTTACTGCGCCATGACAGGCCCGCACTGAAGGTTAATGTAAATGACTGGTGAAAGACATGATATAGGGGAAAGGGGGGGGGGGGGGGCGAAAGACGAGTCATTACCGTTGTCCTTTTCCGCCGACAAACAAAACGAAGACAACGCAGCTCTTACTTTACTGCTGAGGCACGGAACGAGCTCACTAACCCCTTTCGCTCTTTTTCGCATAAGGATGCGCCAGCGTGGAAAGCCTGAAGCTCTATAGCAGCTCAGTGTTTACAACGTCGGCTTATACTACTGATGAGGCAATTGAGCAATAGAAGTGTTCAAGGGGTGATGCACCCTAACACCACCGTAGTGTATGTGGTGCGCGAACATCGCCAAATAAATAGAAAGACTAGCGCAGCCTCGAAGTGGGCCAGCGCTAGCCTGGTAGAACATGATAGACTCAAGCCCCGAGACTAGGGAGAACGAGGGACGACACGACACACAAGTCTCAAACTATATTCCGCGCCGTCCCTCGTTTTCCCTCGGGCTTTTTGGACTATCTCGTTTGACCCTCACCAGCTCGTTTGCGCCCTTCCTGTTCATTAGCCTTGCAGGTGACAAGAGTGAGTTCGTGTACATAATCATGAACTCCCTTTTATCACAACGCGGTGGGAGCTACGCTCTCGCCAGACCAATGGACCGCATCTCTTTCATCGTCTGACCCCGCTCTGACCCCGTGACGAAAGAGAGACGTACGACTGGGTGCACCGCTTACACCACGCTACCAGCTTAGGGGTGAACGGAGGAGAAGGAGAAAAAAGTAGCAGAAGCTCTTCTCTCACCACCGGCCCTATACGAACCTTGTATCAATATTTGTAATTTATGAAAATGTATAAGCATCCCCTCCTCGCAATCGGGACTCTTAGGCGCTGCGAGGTAACCTGAAGAAATAAATAAATCCTTCCATACTACGTTCACATCTAAGCAAGTGCTCGTTGAACCAGTCAGACATCAGTCTTTTGCCACGTGACCACGCTCCCGCCCTTACCAAAAATATTTCAGGCAGTCTATAATACCCGATCCGCATTTTAACGACTCTTTCAACTCCCTATCCACTCACGTCGCATCGACAATTTTCAATAGAGTTTCTATAGAATTTCTTTCAACCAAAGTCTATGGAATATAGACGATAGAAATGCCATAGAATGTCTATCACCACGTGTCAATAGCCTTTCTGCCACCATATTTCTATATAATTTCTATAGACTAGACCCGATAGTATAGAATAAGATGCAGTGCGGAGACGCGACATCACACCCAGTTGGAGCCTCCTTGCAGGGGCTGCTTCTTTCGAGTGTGTCAAGTAATTATCCTTCCTTGGAATGCTTTATAGCTAGAGATGTAATTAACCATCCCTTATACACCAGATTTCGTATAAATTATGTGCGAAGAAAATCCCCATACTTGTCATCTCTTTATCTTCTGGGCGGGTCCTCGTTCAAGTGATTGTCTTTGAAGTGCAGGGTATAAATAGCGGTGGAGCAGACAACACTACTGAATTACTAGTGTTTTCAGTGCTCCGTGGTGTGCGTATTTGTGATGTCTGCGTATGTGCACACGGCGAGAGGCGAGTGCATGTTTCCATGAATGTAGCGTGACAAACCTAAAATCAGTGTTGTAGGCGTTACTGAGAAAAAGTAACGAAATATGTTACTCGTTACTTGCAAATAAAAGGAACGCGCTGCCGACCTATGTGACATCAAAGTAAGAGGAACGCTTTACAGTTACCGATAAAACGTAATGGACGTTACTTTTGCGTTACACTGTTGATTATGAATTAGCTCGTTTTACTGTTTTGACGGTACAGGTATGCATAATCACCATTTTTCAAGAAACATTATGTTCATGCAGAAACTGAATATAATTAATTTATCTTTTTTAAGGTTTCTCGTAAATACTCACAAGAAAAAAAATTATTAATGGGCGCCTGAAAACACGAAAAAAATTTAGGTGTAATATTTTTTGTCTTAGGAAGAAGATGTAACGAGTAACGTAACTAAGTTACTCGTTATTTAAAATAAGTAACGTAAGTACGTCACTCGTTACTGTATTTAAAAAAAAGTATCGTTACGTCACAAAAAGTAACGCGTTTGCCCCAACACTGCCTAAAATTAATATTCCGAATTTTTCGCGAAAAACTAATTTGTTGCTAAAAGGGGATAGAAACGTTGCTAAAATCTGTTTTCTATAAAATTTCCATACAATTTTTATACAATGTCTATCCAATCTCTATAGACTATGTTCTATGGAAAGTTGACCGAAAAAAACAAGGGCCCAAAAAGCTATAGACAGTGGATAGAGAAGTGGATACGTTTTCTTTAGAATATCTATAGCCCCTATACACTATTTTCTATCAAAATTTTGGAGAAAGTGGATAAATATTTTTGCAAGAGCGCGCATAATCAAGCGCAGAAAGGGCGGGTCAGGTGATGACAGGGAGGCGGTTGATTGGTCCGGCGAAAGCGTAGCTTCCACCGCACTGTCAGCTTAGAGCTGAGCGGAGTACGGGTGACACGGGCGTGGAAAGGACAAGAAAACGAAAAAGAAGAAAAGTAGAAAAAAAAAAAAAAGGGGGGGGGGGGGGTGTACATGATGCTTGGTGAACAATGTAGCGACACTTACATACTCTCCTCGCTTTTTGGGTTTCTCTCTTTTGAGCCGCATTTCGACGAGTGTGCCACCTAGAAGGCTCCTAGGAGCCGGCACGTTGTCGTTATATTCTTGGATAGAGGAGTATGACGGCCCTTCTAAACATAAAGCATCAGTAGTCGAACAGAGCTACATAAAAATTGCTCTTAAAAAAAAAAGAAGAAAAAAAGATTAATTCGTTTTCTTTTTGTGTTTTCTTTTCTTTAAGAATGTTTTAATAATCATTCAGGAAAAGAAGCTACTATTAGAAAATTAGACAAAACACCCTGCCCTTTCAAATGAACTACGTTCCACATTTTCGCGGATTGATTGATTGAATCCAAAACTTTCAATCAAGCACTCCATCAATCCATCTTCGTTATTTCCTAGCGTATATTTCGTCTAGGGACTGGCGGCCATTGAGCAACAGTTGGTCGCCCACCTGGGTAGTTCTTGCGAAGGGTCGTTTCTAAAATTGCGTGGGCACTTGCGAGCTAAACACACTATGTAGCAGGCGCCGAGCAATTAAAAGCGACAGAGGAACAACGTTGTCAGAATAAATGTGTACGACCGCCGTTCCTATGCCCCTGCGAGAATCCTGCGGGACAGCTGGTAGAGTAGTTGGTGCTCGCTCCGAAGTGCGCAGTGCTGCGTTTGGTTCACCCGCCGGATAAAGTATGCCTGCCGTTTGCTAACGGTACACGCAAAATACAGCAACTTTTTTTTTTTTTCAGTGATCCCAAATATGTAAAAAGAAACTGACAACTGTGAATAACAAACTTCGGCGAAGCCAGTAAAACTTTTGAATTTATTCACTACAATTTAGTGGGAGATAGATATGTAAAAAGGGGGCTATGGTGCACCAAGGAACTTTAAGAAGCACGACAGGTTCTCCTGGAATCCTCTTCTGCTACATAAAATAAATGCAGCACCTCCGTTAAGCTTTAATGGTCCGTAATCTCGGCACTAACCTTATTAGCCTATACCATTTTCTTCTCCTCGACACGAACGGAGTCCTCCATCATCTCCTCTGGTCCACAAAGGGTCCGCGAAACATCAATGGTTGAGAACCACTGCACTAGCAGAACCAACCCGCCTTGTACCTAAGCTTTCTCACCAAGCGTACGAGAGCGAACTTATCACTCAAAGATTCCATAGAGTTCTAACGGTAAGCGCCACGTGACTGGATGGTCTCTACACCGGGGACAGAAGGGGCAAAACTATAGTCAGTCTAGAACCTGACCAGAAAAACGATCAGTACAACAGACCCGATAACAACTGTCATCAAAATATAAGTTAAAAAAAAAAAAGTTATTTTGGACAGGGAACTTTCGCGACGGTTCCTAACTCCTGGTGAATGGACCCCCTGGGCTTGGAGGCCCCACCCATAACGCGGCGTTCCCCAGATTTCCCTAGGTACCACGTGCCCCAACCCGGTGTGGCCAACCCGAGTGGCCAGCAGTCTCACCTTGTCTCGAATCTGCTGCCTCATCTTTTCTCGTTCCTCCTCCATCCGCCGGTGCTTCTCCTTCCGTCTTTCCTCGGCTTCCCGTAGCGCCTCGAGCCGCTCCTGCTCCGCTTCTGCCTCGGCTTCTTTGTCCTCCGAGGTCTCCCCGTCCCCTCCGATCTGGCCTGCACGGGCAAGAAAAAGCGCTCGTCAGAGGCGCGAGTCGGGTTTCCCCGCCAATGCAAACGGGGCCTGACTTGTCGACTGGTGGAGCCCCACGCCGCCGATACCGGCTCCTCTTGGAACGCGAGCCCGTCTGACGCCAGGTGTTCGTAGCGCAGGCTCCTACTTTTCGATCTCGCGCCCGGGAGCCCCCAGTCCTGGAGGGGCGCTCGCCACAGCACTCGAGGAGAGCGCGCGTCGCGGCCAGCCAGCGCCGCGCCCGGCAGGATAGCGCTCCCGACGTTGGCGCTACGCTTGGCGCTGCCCGCGACTCGCTGTTGCGTCCCACGCTGACCCGGAGTTCGCTTGGATTGGACGCGCCCGGAGCTCCGAGGAGCCTCGCGAGAAGTACACTCGCGCGCCTCATCGCTTCTGCTCCGCGTTCCCTTCTTTCTCCTATTTCTGATGGGGAAATACTATTCCCTAAATATCCCTAGTCGCCGGTGGCAAAAAGATTGTTTTGCTTTTTCTATTATAGGGGAATTATACTATTCGCTCCGCGAGCTACATGCGGGCAGTTTGGCAACACGCTCAACAATTCTTTGCTGTCGAACGGAATAGAGACGTCCGCATGCATAGCTGCGCGCTCGCACGGTTAAACCTTTCCGAACAAAGCCCAGCGTGGGCCCTGGCAGACATTTAGAAGCTTCGGCTGAGTTTTGGGGTTTCAACAGCGATCAATAGTACACTCACCACGAAAAAGTGCCGCCGGTAGAATACATGAACAGCGTTAGACGAGTTTTAAGCACGGCTATTTAGGCGTGTTTTCTTTCCCTCGTAAAGCTGATTTCGAAAGTGTTTTATCCACTTCCTACGAGATGCTGTCAGTATTTCTTTTTTCTCTTAATTTTGGAGAAGGGGAGGGGAGCCCTTCGGCGGTTTGTCCGGACGAATCGGCACGTCGCTCGCTTACTCAACTCCAATCCGCACATGAATTGAATCTCGAACTTCCTTTGCTGAACTCTCGCTGAGCAGATTTCAGTCGAGCGAAAAATGTGCGGAACCCGAAAGAATAACAACGCTGACAATGAAAAAAAGAAAACCACAAAGAGACATCCGCTTTAACTAAATCTGCGTGTCTAAACCCTATTAAACCTGCTTTGAACCTCCAGCCTTTTCCCACATCTCGAGCTGCTCCGAACATTGCTTAATTTTAAAATGCCGCGATATTTATAAATTCTGCACGCTCGTATAATTATGTACAAGAATTGCTCAATAAAATATTTATTATTATTATTAGTAGTAGTATAAGTAACCAGAAAGTTGAAATAAAGCCTTTGACGAGCGTATCCTAGAAAAGAGGGACGAGTTAAGATATTTAGGGGACCTGGACTAAAGCTATTTACGAGGGCCCTAATGCTGATGATAATGATGATGGTGATGATGACAATGAGAATGACGGTCATGGTGATAGTATATTCATTTTTCACTCCGACGAATTCAGATGCTATAAACTTTTGATTATGCTATAAACTATTTTCTGTACCCTATTTAATTTTTTTTTGTTAATAATCTCGTTAATACAGAAATGAATCCAAGTGTTGCGTGTTGGGAGTGAAGTCCTCAAATAATTTATCCCTCTCGAACTTCTCTCTTGAGACGGTTAGGGCGAGAGCTGAACAACTTTACTTGGAAATATTAATTCCAGCCTCGAGGTAAATATTAGGGACCAGGAGCCCATTGACTGCTTTAACCACACCTACAAGTCAAATTTTGTACCATCGTCTAAAGAAGCTCATCACATATAAAAATATTTGAAGTAGGATAGGTGAATCCGTGTTTTACATGTCGAGTATCCGATTTCCCCGACTCGGACTAAATTCAACGGTAATCTCAAACATACCCGCGAAACTCCTCATCTTGGGGGGCGGGGGGGCTTTTTTTTTGCTGCTTCCAAACCAGCAATTTGCCATTTTGTCTAATCCACTAAATGCTTTAACATAACGGAAAATACCCCGTATTTTCAAAATACTGAGAAAAACAGCCACGCAACAATAGATTTTCGGTGCTTGACTCTGTCCTAATGGACTTACACTTTTTTATGCTCCTTCCTTCAAAAACTAAATGTTTATGTCGCAAACAGCCTCATTAAACTGTTTGAGAACTCTGGCAAAGTAAACCTAACACACAAATCATTTTCAACGGGTGTATGTGTCTTCCCAGCCTCTCTGAATTAGTTACATATTTAGAGCTTTCATCTAAACCAATTGAGGGGATGCTTTTGTAGCTCCCGTCTTTCTGAAGAGAGCGAATGCTCCTGTAGGAAAATGGTTATGAATAGCATAGAATCCACAAAATAAGCAAAAAAAGACTTAAAAAATTTTTTTAAGCAAAAAAAAAAAAAAAAAAAAAAAAATGCACTCAAAGCTACAAGCGCGAGCGCTCGTGCGGAAGAACGCTTCAAAGCAGCGACCTCGAGCTCTCGTGCTTGTCGTATTGCCTGCCGTCTCAGCTTAGCAGACTTGTACACGTTACTGAAAAAAAAAAAAAAGTAGCCGATTACAATTACAATTACTTCACTGTAAAAAGTAACCAATTACAATTACAGCCTCAAAAAAGTAATAGAAAAATTACTCTAAAGTAATCGATTACTTCCCACGTTACTTTTATTCAACTTTTTTTTTTTTTATGGTAGCATAATCCTTGAAATTTCGCGCTCAGTTGTTCCGAAAAAAAAAAAATGCCTTGGCCGTTTCTGTTCAGAGCTGAGTGAGTGACGCCAACACACCCACTCCCTCTCGTGAAAAAACAAAATAAAAAGAGCGATGTTTAAATGCAATACTCACAAGAGGCTGGATAAAGTCTTTTTTCATACCCAGAGGTAGTCTCCGGTGTGCCAAAAACAAAAACAAAAAAGAAAAAAAAAAGAAAGTGTACCCAGGAAGCGAGCTTACTGAAGTGGCCTACTAATTTCTCGAGGTCCCGTGCTTAATGGTTTAGAAAAAAAAAAAAAATTGACGTTGCTTAGAGCTGAGTTACTCCAGCACATCTAACCCCCCCCCCCCCCCCCCCCCCCCACCAAAAAAAAAAAAATTGAGGAAAATTGCGGTAATTTTGTAATCGATTAGAGTAAAACAGTAATCCAATTACAAGGATCGTTACTCCTTAAAGTAAGTAATTGAAGCGTTACAAAATTGCAATAAAATGTAATCGATTACAAGTAATCCATTACTTGTAACGCGTTACGTACAAGTCTGGCTTAATGGTACGTATACACCCGAGAAGAAATCCGCTGCCGCAGGAGCTGACTCGCTCCGGGTGACGGTGGCTATGAACGTTGTTGTGTTTACATGTATTTCCCTCGAGCGGCGGCGGCGGCGCCGGCTGCGGCAGCTGTTCTCGTAATATCCCGTCAAATATGACGAGAAGGCACGAGAGTTCCCACCTCGGCTGTCTCTGCCGGGCGTTGCTGCTCTCCAGTCTCGCTGTTTTTGGCTCGACAAGTAGGCGTGAGCTACACGTGGACGCTGCATCCCAAACGGAAAGGACAGCGCGAAGCTGATGGATGATTACGTAGACGAAGAAAACGCCATTGCGAAAAACAAACAGGAAGAACGCGAACTCGTGACGTAGGCAGCGTCGCGCTGTGCAAGAATGTCACTTCCGGTCCGCGAAACGCCTCGTTCGGCGGCTCGCCGCCGCTTTTTTCCGTCCAGCGTTTCACCCCAGCGGCAGGAGCTGGGCGGATTCGCTAGCGGATCCGCATGGCGGCGGCCAGACGCCCCGCTTGCAGTAGTCTTATGATACGTAAGACTAGGGTGGCTACATGTTTCCGCCGCTCCGAGCGGAAACATGTAGGCACCTTACGTAAGACTTTTGCTAGCGGGGTGTCTGGCCGCCGCCATGTCTTCGCTCGTGCCGGCAAGCCCGTGCAATAGCAAACTTGTCAAAGCTACGTTCACGTGCACGCTGCACGTGCTTGCACGTGTGGTGGCGCACGCTCCGACATACGGCGGCTCCCGAGAGAACATTTTTCCGCTCGACTCGATCGTCTCCTGAGGGCATCGGATTACGATACCCGATTCAGGTGCCGCGTCGTCGGCGAAACATTGCCCCACGCTTGCATCAGTTTCGTGCAATATCCCGATTGCATAACATTGGATAATAACCTCATGGCTCACCATTGCACCGCGGATACTGCTCTATTTTCTGGTTGTCCTGTTGCCTCACGATTTTACGAGTTCACGCCACGCACGAAGGTATATGAGAATACGACGCAAGATCACCAGGGAGACTTCACAACAGAGCGGCACTAGACTAGGAAGACTGCTCGTCGCCTTCGGAACTATAGTAACTAAATAAAAAGTTAGTACTTTTACTAACCGTTCCAGACCCTTTTGATAAGTCTGGATCAACCCAAGACGCTGAACATGCATGGGGCACCAGTCGGATTTCCATGCTTGCAGTTGTCAATAGTATTGAAAATATTCCAAAGCACTGGGTTTTCAGAGCAAAAAACAAAACAAATAAAGTAGTCGGTCTAAAAATACATACTTCACAATTATATGTAGTTAATAACTAAGAGAACAAACAAGAGACATGACGTCATGGGCAAAGCGTTGCCCAAATATATTTTGTTTATCTAATATTTGTCATGTGACCAAAAACAAAATATTTCCTTAAAAAAAAAAACAAAAAAAAAACGTGTATGTCGGGTTTTATTTTTTTTTCTTTGTAAGAGACAATATGTTCCATTCATTGTATGCAAAGAAGTCTCAACAGTTTTTTTTTTATCTGTTCTGTGATCAAAATAGTGATGCAAGCAATGCCTGCATAAAGTCACGCCGACTTTAAAGGATGAATAGGCGTAATTGGCTAACTATTTAAAGGTCTTCCATGCTTCGTTTCAGTTTAAGTTCAGACGCGGACGAGCTGATGGGACAAATCACAAAGGGGCAAAAGGGCACCATCATGGTGTTCCTGTTTCTGTACGTGCTCTATCATTGCTGAAGAAATCATGAAC